ATCTATCTATCTATCTAGCTATCTATCTATCTATCTATGTATCTGTCTATTTCTCTCTCTCTTTCTATATATATATTTATATATATATGGTGATTTTTATAACAAAAGGCTGTGTTTTCCTTAGACATTTGAGATAAGACAGGACTCTCCTAGCACCTCCACCTCCCCGGAGTGTGGACACCGGGCGTTCCAGAGCCACAATTCAGCATGATCTCTTTTCATCCCAGAGGCCCCGGGGCTCCTCCCTACAGTCTGAGAAATGAAGTAGTTTTATTTGGAGCCAGTATCAATATTCACTAGTTCAACAAACATTTCCTTAGCTCCTGCTCCATGCCAGACTGAGAATACAAATAGGACGCCAAAGAAGGCACAGATACTGTAAACACTTACAACATCGCCAGCGGGGAACTCACATTTTAGCAGAGAAGAGAGATCTGTAAACCAATGAGTGATTCGCCTAAGGACACTTACTGAGGAATAGTCAATGAGCTACTGAGATCCAGCAGCAAGCAGGAGGGATCTGCTCTGCCAGGGGTGGCATTTAGATCTCAAATAATCAGCATAAACTCACTGGCAGAGAAGTGAGGGAGGGAGAAAGACAAGGCTCAAGTAGAAGTAAATGCAGAAAGTAAAGCAGGCATGAATGTCTTGGCAAGTCTGCAAAAGAATGAGTTGTCCCTTGAGGCTGGATTGAGACATGGAAGCCGGACACTCAGGACTTACTCCACATTCATTCCCAGTATGCTTATGTGTTCTGCAGAACTGGAAATAAAGCTATGTTTCCAGGATGCCTTGAAGCTATGGTTCTGGGTATGATTCTGCCAGATACCCTTTGCAAAACACAGCTGTCTGCAGTATGCAGTGGCAGAACAGTCATTTAAGTTATCACTTGTGGTCAATGGGAGGAAAGTATCTATGGAAACCAAAGTGTTATTAGGCCAAGTGGCTATGGTAATTAACCCTTAATGGCAAGAGTAAAGAATTCAAAGACCATGAGGTTGGCTGACTTCTTGAGTCCCAATGGAGCATAAAGAAGAAAGGACAAGCATGGGGTCACCTGCAACATTCCCTATCTGGGACTGAATTCTATGTCAGTCAGTATTAGGCTCAACATTAAGGCAGAGAGACTCTGAACAGCAGTGGCTTAACGAAGATAGAGCTTCATTTCTCACAGAAAGTTACAGAAGTAAGTAGTTAGACCGTGCCAGTTCCACTCCATGGCATCTTTCAGCTTGCTGCTCCTCTGTCTCTTTGGTGTGTCCCTCGTCTTCATTGTCCCAGTGGAGCCATCACATCTGTGTCCCAGGCTGTAGGATGGAGAAGGGAGCAAACGAAAAAGGCGTATGCCAGCTCCATCCTGCAAAAGTTCTTGAGAACTCTTACATGATACTTCTATTTACATTCTACAAATTTGGACAATAGTTTTATATTCTTTATTCTATAACTATATTCTATAGTCTAACTTCTATAGGTTGTCACCTGACCACAGATAACTGTAAGAAAGACTAGGAAATGTAATTCAAAGTTGTTATTTTAATTGGGAAGGAGAGAACATAAATTGGGTAATGGTGCAGTCTCTCCCACAGGATGCATGGCAGAGAGTGTCTGAGAAGGACACTGGGATGAATGGGAGCCAGATGGAGAAGGACTTGATGTGACGTGTCAAGTAGTTCGAACTTGTTCATACTGGCAGTGAAGAACCATCACATAGGTTTAATCAGGAGAGAGATTAAAAAGCGAGATATATTTTACAGACATCTCCTTGATAGCTACGCGGATGGGTTCTGAAGAAGACGGAAAAGCTAGGATTCTTTGTAGTAAAGAGTGCATTCTTGAGAAGAATGAGTCCCACATTCTTAGCCTCTGGATTGTTGAGATTATCGTCTAGATGACTGGTGGTCTAGATATGCGAACATTCTTTCCTCATTCCTTCAAGAGCTAACAAGAGGGTTATCTGGAGGTTTGGTGTGTATTCAGGCATTGACACAGGACTGGAAAGTCCAAAAGCTTAATTGCCCAGGCTAGTTAAAACAAGAATAGAATCTTTTCCCTATACCTCAACATACTTGCTTTTTAGTAATTTGGCAGCTTGACTATAGCGACTCCATTTTATTTGTTCGCTCTACTTCTCATTCCAAAGCAGGAGGATCTCGGACTCTGCTCTAAATGTTCACAAGTGGGAGAATGAGCCCATTATTCTTTAAGCATTTAGAATCTTTGTAATAATCCTCTTCACATGTGATAACAGAGCTGAACAGGCATTTATAAGCCATTCAAAATTTTATACATCGGAATTTTAAAGTAGAGAATTTAATAGGCTGCTTCTATGTTAAATGAGTAGCTTGAAATTAAGATTCTCTCTATATTTCTCAGAACTGATGGGATGATTATCTCTCTCTCAGGAACTATTTGTAGAGATGCTCTGACTTGAACCTTTATAAATATTGAATGACCATTTTGACACTAAACATTCTCTGGTCTGCAGACTGCAGCTTTCTTGACTAGTTTCAGAGGCTAAACCCTGAGCCGAGTTAAGACACAGAAACAATTCATAAGACTCGTATTTTTATACTTGAGCCCACAGAAGATGGTCATCTAATTTTGACGTGGCTGGGCAATCATTAAGAATTTTTCCATTAAATCACATAGTTTGTGACTTGCCTTATTCTTATTTGTGCACATGTTGGCTGTCCATACAGTATACACTCAAACATAAGAGAATCTCGTCCCTTCTGTTAGCATAATTTGATTGTAATATCCTAAAGGGCAGATTGATCCCTTTTAGGAGTTAAACCGGACTGGCAGGGCACCTGCCCTCTGTCCCCTCCTCCCACATTTAAATTTCTCCTGGGGACCACGTGGGCAGGGGGAGATAAGCTCTCCAAACTTGAAAACGAGGTCTAGAAACATTTAGAGATGACTGTTGGGGGAAAAGACAAGTTTTACCCTGGGAGCAAAACTAGACTGCCACTGACAGTTCTTTGGGAAACCTGTTGGGGATTTTATTTTTGCTTATTTATTTCAATAGTTCACCTAAAGGGAGAGTTTTCACATAAGGATTGAGTTGTGTCTATGAAAGAGGAATGTAAGTAAGTTTCCGGGTGCAGAGGAGGATAAACAGCGTTCTTATTCCCTGGACAAGTCCTCTATTGTGTTCAGGGGTGAACTGTGCAGGCTGTGGCTCCTGTCCCCATGACCACAGGCTTAAGGACCAGTTCTAACACCCAGACACTGGGAGTGGAGCCAGAACCACCCTACAGGATCCCCGGGGGACAGCTCTTCCACTGCGGGCTTCTCAGAGAACCTCCCCATCAGAGCTACCTCTCTAGCCAGTAGGTAACAGT